CCAGGCTGAGCTCCTGCGAGATCCCGGGGACTCCTGGCAGTGGCCTGTGGGGGAGCCTTCGCCGCACCCTCTGGGGAGCTGTTCCCGGGGTTCATCCCCCCCCCTGTTAAATGTCGGTGCTTTCGCTCCAGGCTGACATGTCTGCGCTGGCCCCAGCCATGGGCTGTCCCCGGGCCCTCAGGACGCTCTGCCCCAGGGAGCTGCTCCGGGCGGTGTCTGTGGAAGTTGGCGCAGACTCACCCCTGCGGCGCCTCGGCTGGTTACTTCCGGGAATTAGCTCTCCAGCTTCCGGAGCGCCCTCTTCAGCCCGGTGTCTCGCCGTCACTGCTGGACCTACCGGACCTTGGTGCCCCTGTAACCGGGTGCTGCCCCCCCTCCCCCAGCAGTACCCCTGCAATTCTGGGTCTCCCCCTCCCAGGGGAACCCCCACCCACTATCCCCACTTTGCCTCAGAATATGGCTACTGCCAGTCCCCATCCAGCCCCCGCTCCCTGGGGCGGACTGCAGTGTCCACGCCATTCATCACTGGCAAAGGGGGGTTTGGACCTGCTGTCTTTGCCTACCCCAGGGTACCCCTCTGTAGCCCCAGTACCTGTCCTGGCCTTTAGCAAGGCCGCAGCCTGGGGGTTCTCCAGGCCAGGGCTCCCCAGCCCTGCTCCACTCTAGGTACCTTTCCCCGTGTCTGAGCCGCCAGGCCCTCCTCCCTCAACAAGCAGAGAGAGACTCCCCGGCTGTGCCTGGCTCCCTGCCTTTATGGGGCCAGCTGAGGCTGTTTGGGGCGTGGCCCCCGCGGCAGCCACTTCCCCCGATCAACTCAGCCTAAAAGCTGCTTTCTCCACCCCCCCCACCCCCCGGGCTGTTTTTAACCCCTCTGGACCGGAGCAGGGTGACCACCCCGCTACACTCTGTGTCTGGCTGGTGCTTTGAGATCCTCGCGGGGGAGGACACCACCCGCTCCCAGCATCTGGGCTCTCCCGTGTCCCTTGGAGCCGGGAGCTGGCGGGGGGCATGCGGGAGAGCGAGACGGAGACCTGCTGCTCTGTGCCCATGGGTCTCGCCTTGCCGGAGTCTCTGGGCCCCACAGCGTGGCTGGAGCAGGGGCCCCTGCGCCCCGCAATCCGGCTACCAGCAGCTCGGAGCGTCTCCTCGCCTCGGTGGCCACGGCCGTGCCGCCCTCGGAAAGGCCCATTTGTCTCTGCCTCTTTGCCCAAGTGCAGCAGCAGTTAATCCCTGTCCCGTCGCCCTCGGCCCCAGCGCAGATTTACTGGTACTTAATCGTGACCTTTCAAAGGGAGCCGGGCGGGGAGGCCAGGGGTGAAGAGGCAGGAGCCAAAGGTCAATCGCTCCTTTCATCCCTCAAGTCACACACGCCAGGCGGAGGGAGTCAGTTCATCGGTGGTGCAGTCTGGCTCCCTCACCCCGTCCCAGCCCGGCTCCCTGCCCCGCAATGCAGCAGCGTGAGCCGCTTGGGGCCCCCGGCTGCACTACCTGGGTCCAGCCCACCTGCTGCACCACGGACATTGCAGAGCAGCGAAGCTTTTCCTTCCCGCCAGGTGCTGGGCGGACGGAGGCAGCGGCAGAGCTGAGGAGGCAGAAGGAAGGTTCTGGCTCAGCGATAACCCAGAGCAACGACTGGGTCAGGATCGTCGGGGGCACCCAGGAGTCCTGCGGGAGCGGGAGACACCAGAGGCTCAGCTCCCAGTACTCGCGGTGCCCATAGCACGGGACGGGAGCGGAGGAATGTAGGATCCGTCTTTAAAACGGTGACCCAGGCAAGTCCAGAGCCAAGAGCCTGACTTTGGTAGCCAGAAAATCGGTCGGAAGAAATCACTGAAGAGAGCGTTCGAAGGCAGCTGGGTAAATAAGATGTCCTAGCATCTATGCAGAGAGAAATCACACCTCATTAGTCTGTTAGGGCTCTCTGCACCTGTCAGTGAAATAGCAGATGGAGGAGAACTGGCTGATAACAGAAATGGCTATAAAAATAAATAAATAAATAACAAATGGAAGAAATGGGAGGTTGATAGTAATGAATATAAACCAGAAGTTAGGAATTGAAGAAAAGTGATAAGGGAAGCCAAGGGACACAAGGAGAAATCTATGGCTATCAGAATTAAAGACAATAAGAAGGAATTTTAAAAAATCTATTAAGAATAAAAAGAATCTTAACAATGGAATTGGTCCATGACTAGATGGAAATGGTAGAATTATCCATAGTTTTGGAGAAAAGGCAGAAATGTTCAGTAAATATTTCCGTTCTGTATTGGGGGAAAAACGGATAGAGTCATATATGATAACGCTCTTTGCGTTTCACTGGTATCTCTGGAGGGTGTTAAACAGCAGCTACTAAAGTGAGACATTTTTAAATCAGCAGGTCCAGTTAACTTGCACCCGAGAGTTTTAAAAGAGTTGGCTGAGGAGCTCCCTGGACCATTCATGTTGATTTTCAATAGCATTGGGAGCACCAGGGACGTTCCAGAAGACCGGAAGAAAGCGAATGTTGTGCCGATGTTTTAAAAGGGTAAATGGGATGACCTGGGTAGTTATAGGCCTGTCAGCCTGATATCAATGCCAAGCAAGATAATGGAATGGCTGAGAGGGGACTCGAAGGTAATATAACGGATGTCAACCAACATGGGTTTATGGCAAATAGATCCTGTCAAATGAACTCGGTATCTTGTTTTGATGAGATTACCAGTTTTGTTGATGAAGGTAATAGTGGTGATATGATATAATTAATTAGACTTCTGTAAGGCATGAGATTTTTATTAAAAAACTAGAAAGACATAAAATCAAGATGGCGCACATTAAATGGAGTAACAGGGACTGATGGGGCTCCAGATGTAACTGTAGGCGGGCTCATTGGGTGGCCGTGTTTCCCGCAGGGATCGGTGCTTGGCCCTGTGCTATTTAACACTATTCTCAATGGCCTGCAAGAAAACATACAATGGTCCCTGATAACGTCTGAGATGACACAAAACGTGTGTGTGAGGGGGTAAATAAGGAAGAGGCAGGTCGCTGACGCAGGGCGATCTGCATCGCTTGGTAAGCTGGGTGCAAGGCAACAATGTACATTTTAGGAGAGCTGGACGTAAGCGTGTACCCCTAGGCCCAGAGCCCGCAGGCCGTACGTACCGGCTGGGGCTCTGTCCTGGCTGCAGCGACTCCGACAAAGCTTTGGGGTCGTGGTGGATGATCAGCAGAACAGGAGTTCCCAGGGGGAAGCTGGACCAAGCGCTAAAGCGACCCTGGGATGCATGAACAGGGGAGTCTCGAGAGGAGCAGGGAGGTGATTTGAGCTCAGAGTTTGGCGCTGGTGCAGGGTGTGAATCTGCAGCTGGCACGAAGCGATTGAGGGGAGCCGAGCCCAGAGGAGCCCGGGAGGGATCTGCCCCGGGAGGGGAAAGGGCAGTGCACTGCCAGGCACAGGGGGATTCAGGTTTGACAAATGCAAAGTAACGCACTCAGGCTGCTTAAGGGACAGGCTGGAGAATAATCTGAGAACAGTCTAGGGCCCCCCTTTAAACCCACAGGCCGCCCTGCGCTGGGGCATGCTGTGCAGTTCTGGGCAGTGCAGGAAGGGCACAGCCAATTCCGAGATGAAATTCAACCAGGAGAAATGCAAAGTGCTGCACTTGGGAGGGAACCATCAGTTGCACTAATACAAGATCGGCAATGACGGCCTAGGAAGGAGCGTGGCAGAAAGGGATCTGGGGGTGGATCACAAGCCAAATATGAGCAAACAGTGTAACGCTGCTGCAAAAAAAGCGAACGTCATTCTGGGCTGTATTAGCAGGAGTGTTGTGAGCAAGACACGAGAAGTCATTTTCTGCTCTACTCTGCGCTGATTACGCCCCAGCTGGAGTATTGTGTCCAGTTCTAGGCACTGCATTTCAGGAAAGATGTGAACCAACTAGAGAGAGTCCAGAGAAGAGCAACAAAAATGATGAACGGTCTAGAGAACATGAGCTATGAGGGAAGACTGAAAACGTTGGGGTTGTTCAGCCTGGAGAAGAGAAGACTGAAAGGGGACATGAGAACAGTTTTCAGGTATGTAAAAGGTTGTTCTAAAGGAGGGTGATCAATTGTTCTCCTTAGCCACGGAGCACAGGACAAGGCGCAGTGGGCTTACACTGCAGCAGGGGCGGTTGAGGTCGGACAGTAGGAGACACTTCCTGTCAGGGTGGTGAAGCACCGGACGAAATTGCCCAGGGAGGCTGTGGAATGAGCCAACGCCCTGGAGGTGTTTAAGAGCAGGTCAGACAAAGCCCGGTGAGGGGTGGTCTAGGAGGTAACACTGAGTCCGTCCGAGTGAGGTCCCTTCCAGCCCTGCGTTTCCAGGATGGG